TGCTGGGAACAGTCTGCCTATTTGTTTACTTTAAGCATCTTCTCTGATATAATACTTATTACAGAGAATAACTTTAATATTTGAGTTTTTGTGCATTTGTGTGCCTCTCAGTGTCATAATAATGTCTGTTCTTAGTTTCTTTTCTTACAGCCATTAAGTGCAGTTATGTTCAAATTGACATCATATAATTTTATGTATCCAAGCACCATCTAAAATTGATGATGTAAAATATAATTTAAAAAAATTAATTGTAAATCTGTGTGCAGCGGTAATGGCAAAGTGTGGTAATTGCTAGCCTTATACCGCTAGCATTCTTGCTAGTAAAGCAGCCATTATAGTTCTGACACTGATGCACTGAATCTGACTCATCGAGAGGCTTTAATAAGTGAGCTGCACAAAGCAATAATAATGCTAACAGTATCTCCTCATGTTCATAGGGTTTAAGCTTGTGGATGTTCAAACTGAAGCTAAGGTTTACAGCAAACATATTTGTGGCTCCACTGAGAGATAAATATTGTTGGAAAGATTTATTGTGGGCTGACCATGGAAGTTAATTCAAGCTAAAGTGATGTTTGTAAGGTAAATTATAAAATAATTGGTTCTACACAGCCTCAATTATGGGTACCTTTTCTTTATACACCTACATTTGGTTTAGCTTCATGAGGCATTTGTTAGCTATATTAGAATAAGTCCAGCGTAGTTTTAAGTATAGTCAGTGAAAGATAAATAGCCCATTGAAAGTACTCATCTCCCAAAATATGGTTTGCTGTGGCAGATAAGATGCTATACAACAACATGTCACTCATGTTATTTAGCATTACCAATATAAAAAACGAATCCCACATACAATTTGCTTTTGTTTTCTAATGATTTCCTTTGTTCATTAACAAAGAAATGGGAAAGTGAAAGGAAAAAAGAAGACAGGGAGTGGGAGTACAGCATAGCCAAGCATTCCCTAATTAGGAGTTTTATGGGGCATATAATTTGAGTTACAGCACTGAGCCTTGATTCAAAAGCAAACAATTTTTTTTTCCTTTGGATATTCCAGAACACAGTGCTGCAGACTAAAATCAAACAATTGACACATAGCAATACATAGCAATTGAGTAAGTGATTCAGAAACATACTGAAATCTACTATATGCTATTGATTAATAACACTGAATTCTATATGGCTTTAAATAGACTATCATTTATATTGTTACCTCAGATTTCAATTTCAGTTTCAATGTCATTGATCTGATATTTGATACTTCCACTATCTAATAACAAAGTTAAGAGCAATAGATCATCAGTAAGACAGTTAAAAGATTTTTTTGTATACTGTCTCCATCTATATACTGTATACAGCATGTTCTAATTATAACAGAGATTATGAGAGTAGACAACCATGCACATTAACGTTGCATAATTGACACTTCTCTGAACAGGTACTGCACTGTATCTCCATCTGGAGTTTGGTGATAGCAGCTGTATAGTTGTGATATGAATACATTGGTTGATATATAGCGTCTTGCTTTCTCTTTTGTATCATTTTGAAACTTATTTCTCAGAGCACCAATTTCATATTCTTAGTACATATTATACACATTCAGTTCATCTTAGTCTTAAGTTTGCACTGCCTCAAGTGTTTTTGCCTCTGTTAGTTAGAACTGTAGTTCTGACTGCAAACAGGAAATCTCAGATCCAGGTGTAGGACTTCCAATAGACAGCATATTTTGTAGCCATAACTACCGAACTACTGAAACTAATGGAGATGCAGACTTAATTCAAGATCCCAAGGGGATGGTCAAGAAATCATCAATTAAAAATTAAGTGACAGGAATAATGTTCAGTGTTGGCAGAGGTTTGCACTCTCTAAGTGCTTTCTAGATTCTACTGTGGACATTTTATAACTTTTGAATGCAGTATTGCTTAACCTCTGCCAATGCTGTTACTATTATATGTTCAAATGACTGTTTTATTTTAAACTCAGTTCAGCACAGAGATCATTAATGTTGCATCTTATTTTACTGTAAACCTTTAATAGCAGGGTTTTTTTGGTCACTTGGGTGCTGCAGGAACAAGTTGTGAACACGCCACTGACATCATCACTTTTTATATATATATATATATATATATATATATATATATATATATATATATATATAGAGAGAGAGAGAGAGAGAGAGAGAGTCGGGAGAGGTAGGGGAGTGAGAGGGAATATATGCATCAATGGGCCCATGCTGGGCTGCTGCCGTAAGAACTCAACTTTGATACGTGGAACACACCCTGAGGTGAGCTACAGGGGCAACCCATTTTGTCACCTTTTAAGTTAATATGATGAAACTGTTGCTTATTTACCCACCAAGGAGCTATAAAGAAATTTAAATTATCATTGGTTTTGATTTATGTTTTTGGCCAAGTGAGTAATATTCACTTTATTTTAACTGTTTTTGTTCTCTACAAACTCTTGAGGCAAATATCTGGCTTTTTAGCTACTAAATACTCCACAGTGTTCACCAGCTATAGCTGCTAACTGCTGTTTATGGTGCTGGGAAGTATATAGTGGGTTTTTAGAGCTTTTTTGCTGAAAACATCTGCCTGCTGCCTTCGAAACAACACTATGAAAGGGACCAAAACTGAAAAGACATAGGCTGCAAAATGTGGGTACATTGTCTTTGTGGGTTCATCACTATGAGTGACCCCTTTCACAGTGTCACATTGTTTACACATTTACAAAAATATCGATTATAGTCGCTTAAATGGTAGGCCTATTAAAGATTAGATAAAATAGCAAAGTTCTTTAAAACATGAGATCAAACAATGATTAGAGTTTGTAGCTGGCTGGATAAATACAGCAGAATTGGTGAATCATGCAGGTCACATTATAGAACTCAGCTTTAAAATATGTGGATTTGGTATATGATGTACACTATGCCACCAATTCTGTTTGATGGTTGAGTACAGACTACCACTGTGAGGTACAAGATGTAACCTGCATCAATTTATTTTTCACACATGGGGCCACATGAAAAGTGGTGCGTAACCAGTGAATTACAGCCTGCTGCCTGCAAACATGAGCCTGAATGCAGCTTCTCAAACTTAAAACTGGCCCCTCTCCTCCTGTTGCCTGGGTCAACGGCAAATCTCACATTCCCACAATGACACGGCCACAATACAAGGCCAGTCTTCAGTTTTACATTTGAAAGCATATTTAACTTTTCACTCATCCATTCACAGCCTGTGAGCAGTAAGACTCTGAGCCTGGCCAAGATTAGCTTTTGGCAGACAATGCAGTGAATTAAAGGCCACACATGGCCCCTCTCTTGTTCTCTGGGTGACCAAACACACTTCCAGGGCCAGGAACTCTTGACCGGCCTTTTTAACCCACAAGGAGAAACTAGGAATTGGAGATAAGTATATGGCAATGGATTTAGGATCAAAACCTGGCCAGACAGAAGTGTTGTCACATGGAACAAGACAGATGGTCTTTTTCCTCGCTAACCTACCAAACTCTAGTGTCAGAGGTTTCAGTATAGGTTGAAGAAAACACTTGTCAAATGCTGAAATATTTAGTTCTATATTGGAAAATTTTAGCTGCCTATTAAGACATGAGGGAGCCCGTTAGTAGCTCAATCCTAAAACGTGACCGTTCACTCACACTATCCGACTGAAAACTGAAGATTGTTTAAATATCACTGTTAATATTCAGCAGATGTTGCTGTTCCTTCTTAAATATTTATCAAGAATTCACAAACAAGTCAAACACAGCTGATTATATATTTACCCCAAAACATGTCATTATTTATGAAAAGAAAGCGTAATTAAATCCCTGTCAGGTAAATAAATAGATGAACTGGTGAAAATTTAGGAACGCTAAAACCCCTCTTTTAGGAATCATCATTAATTCTGTCTTAAAAATATAAAAGCCTTGATCATGATTGTGATTTAGTATCACAGTTATGACTTCAAAACTTAGACTTTATATGACTTTGTCTCTTCTAATCATGACTTAGTGTATCATGAGTCATACTTAAAGATTTGATCGATAGAATGTTTGTTTAAAAGCCGGTTTATTGTTTTCTTAGAGGACATCCTCATCAGTCAGTTAAAATGATGTGACATATCCATAAAACAGATTACAGAAAGTCATTTCACATGATCACTTCCAGTAACACCCGGTACACATCATGACTTGTGGTAAGACACAAATTCATCAAGGTCTTTTTTATTTTCAAACACATCAGTCCATCATCCACCCAAACCCCCCACCCCCAAAGAAGTAGACCAATTGGTAAATGTGTGTACAGCCCGACATCCATACAATACAAAAATATATCTGTATAAATGTGTTCATACAAATCAGCTCACATACACATAGAAAAAGAAGTAAACAGAAATAATAACAAATAAAGAATGAAAAGACGTAAAAACAAACCCCCAAAAAACCCATATCTATATAATCCTTCTGGGATTTATAAAGTATATCTATCTATTTATCTATCTATCTATACAAACATACATACGGGTTACAAAGTGGTAAGACACAATTACAGTATGCAACACTAAGTCTTCATTTTGATTGATGATGACTTAATAATTACTAATATAATGCAATACTGAGTCCAAAAAAAATACCAGGCCTGCCACCAGACATGCTATTATGACAATATATTGTTATATATTGATTGATTATGACCTAATAATTGGTAATAATTATGCAATACTAAGTCATAATGTGAGTAAGTCTTAATAGGAAGACATCAGTTATACTTTAGACTCACTACAGTAAGTCATAGATATGTCCGGAAGCCCTTACTAGTTAAATGTTTTGTCCCTCGCAATGTGTTACTCTATTTGTATATATGTCCCTATATGGAGAGCCCTTCCGTGTGTGAGGGGAAAATGACACAGAATAATATCCTGAAAAGACGGGCAGGAAAAAGAAGAACAGGCGGGTATTTGGAGGGACTATAGCGTAGTACCGAAGGGGGCGACCACGCACAGTCGCACACTCATCCCTGCTCCAAAACTCGTAATAGTGAGGGACCACGCAGCTTGTCATTCCCCAGCATATCGGCTGGCGTGTCACCTTATCTCCCACTGTGTGTCCGGGGACTATTTCACATATTTCTCCCGAAGGATTTCCACGGCGTTCAATTAGGTCTGTGCATGCTAATGGGTGTCTTTGGACGGCTGCCTCCCTCGTCCATGTGTGGCTCTCTGAGAGCGCTGTGAGCAGCAGCAGCAGCAGCAGCACCTTGGATCAGCAGAAGGAGGAGGAGGAGGAGGAGGAGGAGGATTTTTTCTCCTACCGTACCGTGTCGTGCACAGTGGAAATACACTCGCCTGCTCTGGGTACTATCAAAACGAAAGGGAGGGAAGAAGAAGGAGAAGGAGAAGGAGACGAAGTAAGAAGCATAAGGGCTTATCTTTTTGGGGGGTCACCCCAGACTATATTTGGTTTGAATTGTCAACGGGACAGGCCTGCTACATTGGACGTGTCTTCAGAATGGTAAGGTTAATTTTTAGTGAGATTTCTTGCCAGTGTTGCAGAAAAAAGGGGAAAAAAAAAAAAAAACAGCTGCACACAAGCATCACGCAGTAGCGGAGAGAATACGGAGAACTAATGTAGGTAGCCGCGATCAGTTGCACTACACACGGGCTTTTATTGTTGCCCCTTTCGCCGTTTGTTTATGCTGTTTTTTCTTTTAAAATAAATCTGTCCATTTACCCGCACGCTATTCCTCGGGCAGGGAGAGATTTACGGTGCTTCGGGAACGGTGCGGCTACGGTGGGGCTACCTGCTCCTCGGTTTTTAAGCAGCCTGAAGGGGTTTTTTTTGTAGATCGCCTTTAACATCGCACTGTGCGCATTTGATAGCTGGTGAGGGATCAGAAAAAAGTCCACAGTTGCCTTTCACAGCGGGCTCGGGGAGCAGGAATGGCTGCAGCGCGTCCTAAATGATGTGAGATAGGTACATAAATAACGGATGAAGACGGATGAGGACTTGCTTTCTGAATTTAGAGGTGGGTTAAAGTGCCCTGCTGTATGTGCTCTAACCTTGTCTTCTGTGACAGTGTCTCTGAATAGTGCGAGTTCCATCAAGAACCGCTTGTTTGTTTGTATTTAAAGGCATAGAAAGGGAACTGCAGATTTGTTATGGTTGGGATATGGACTATAGCACCCCCTTTTTCTTTTCGTTTTTTAAATATATTTTATTTTTTTTACAAGTGAGTCCATATTCAACTTTGTAGTAGCCTCTACGCCACAGTGTGGTCGCAGTACCTACCCAGTGAATTGTGTCTGTGTCTGAGTGGTGGTCTTGCTTTAATTGGAGTAAGGCTTAGGGAGGAATACACAACTGATAGTTCTCCTACAGTATAATTATAATACAATTCATAAAGGGGTTTCTTCTAAGAAATGCCACAATTTCAAATAGTAAATCTTCAAAAAACTATAGTGTTATTATTAAAGTCATATCAAATTACATTTTCAATTCACCACAGTTTGATTAGGTGTTTTTTTTTTTTCTTGTTAAATTTGTGAGCCAAAGCCTTAAAAACTGCATCATTACAGGCGGTCGTAATCAGACCAATTAAATTAAGAAAAACTCCATTTGAATGTTCTGGAGTTCACAATCATTTGAGACTGGAGGAGTAAAAGCGTGAGTAGGACCCCTGGGAGTCATTGTTGGGGCCCTACGCACAGCTTAGACCAGCTCTGCACTCTGATTGGGCAACTTGTAAGAACAACACACACACACACACACACACACCTCTGAGTGTAGTGATGTAGTAGTACTCATGCTGCTTGTAGAATTTGGGCTTTCGCTACATCACATTAATAGAGATTATTGGTGTTATAAATGAATGGAGAATGTTTTCAGATATAAACAAAAGTATACTTAAGAGTTGGGGAGAAAAGACAGTTTTACACCTTTGTGTCAAAGAATTATTTTTTTTAATCAGTTGGTATCCCAAAAGTGTAACTGCCCCATTGTGATCTAGAAAGTTTAAAAAATTGATTAGAAATTGAAGAAAACTTTTCCCAGGAAATGCCTCAGACATCCAGACCATTAAGAAACTACTCTCTGTGTGTGGAGGGATTTTTTGAATATAGGAGAGCTCCCAAGTGCCACTATTGGCCGTAGCAGGGTGCATGACCTCAGATATTAGAGGTTAAATCCAAGGGAATCCGGGGGCCCTCGTCCTCCATGGCAAGTGTTTCGTGGAGGCTTCAGATGAGAAGTCTGAAGTTGTTAGGTCCCGTCGAGGTTAACCTTTGTAGAACAAGCCTGCATTCTCCCCGTTGTCTTTGTCGTGCTGATGAGCTCTGAGAAGCAGCCTCAGCACTAGTTCTCTGCATGATAAGAGGCGAAACAACCCTCCCTTTGTGATCACAAATGAAAAATCTGTTGCTTGTCTTTTCGTCTTTGTTGTTGTTTCATTGTGAACTGAACGTGCAGCTATTCTCCAAAGGACAGATTGCTGAAAGAAAGATGACATGTAAGTTGCAGTTGGACCTTGTTACATTCCATAAACGATTGTTGTGTTTGAACTAACGTTGGCAGCGTTCGGGGGCAGAACGATGACAGAGAGGAAACAATGAAATGCTTCTGTCCCTCTGGAGTTTTCTATGGGGATACAGTGTATTTCAAGTAATAATTGTTGTGAGATCTGTATGGTCATCTAGGGAGGGAATGGTTGCATTTGAGGGAAATAGATAGTGTGGATGGTGAAGACTACGTTCTCCATGATCTTGTGTGGCTGAGTGGGAAGAGCATGACAATAGAGATGATGTGTTGTTCGTTGAAGATAATCAGTGATCTGTAAAGAGGCATTTACCTGCTTTACATGCAGGAGGGAACCTTTAAATTAAATTGTTCTCTGTGTCAGTGAAGTAGAAATTACGATATTTTATATTTACCTGTATATTATACATCCGTTTTTCCTGTTGATTTGTACAGTCGGTGATCCCTACATACCTGCTTTTTCAATTCAGCAGCCTTGAGTAAACGCAACACAAGGAGAGGTTGATTTTCTAGCCTAGAGCATTATGTTTAGTTGAAGCTGCAGTCTGTCATCTTGTGATTTATCACACATAGAACTAATGGGTAGCTGTCACAATTACACCACTTTATTGGACATGAAAGCTGGTCACTGCACCCCCACCCACCTCTCTCTTTCTCTCTCTCTCTCTCTCACCCACACACTCACACACACACAGCCCCCTCATTTTTCCAAATGTTGACAGGACAGCTCCAGACTTTGTGTGATAAGTTGAGGACACTGCCGAAATCATAAGCATGTGGTGTCACCAAGTGACCAACTGATTGTTGCAAAGCAGTAATTTCTATGTGGGTAATCACAATTGTCCTCTGATAGTCCCTACATATATACAGAAACCTCGGATTTATACCTCAGGCATTATAACAAATCTTTATTATGTGTTCTGTGTGCTGCGTCGTTCTAATTAGACAAGCAGAACATTTAAGTGAAAGTTATTTTTGTGGCCATTGTTGACCTGACCTGCCTGTAAAAATAGAATACAGTAGTTTGTTTGAGGCAGTATGTGTGTTTGGCGTTTTTTTAGAAAGTTCATGGGTTCCTTCTAAGATGGTGATGTAAAGTGACAGGCATCTAAACAAACATGTAAAAAGCTAAGGACGTTTTAAATAACTAAAGAGCCTGAAAATTTCACCTTGGTGTTGTTTGCTCCAAAAGAAAAATAAATCTAGAACTTAACTTTGCTGTATTAATGCTGAAACACTACTGCACTGACTTATATATACTGGTATCCATATCATTGATTAAGATTAAAAGAAATCCAAACCCCCTGGTAAAAGGACATGTGAAGGGAGCCTTTTTGTAGGTACCTTTTTTTTTTTTTTGCATTTTAATGAGGGATAAGCCATTTTAATAATAACTTTGTATGTGTTGCACTTTGTTTCTTTAAAACTGTCAAATTCATTTTTCAAAGAACTGGAATCTTACACCTGTTTGGTGCTCTGAAAGTCAGAATCACTCAAACAAAGTACTTTAGAAGTGAGTTAGGGGTTGAAATTATGCACTTGAGCTCCCAGACACGGGGTAGTATTTCTCCTCCTGGGCAGACAGCAACAGACTCCCCTTTGTGTCCGACATTTCATAGTACACATGTAGCAATTTTTAAGATGACTCTCCTTGCTGCTGAAGCTAATGGCAATCTGCAGGTGTGGTACTCATTATCCTGACATTCTTTACTTTGGTATATTCTTGTCTGCTCTGTGCCTCAGCAGAGCATTATCCTGTTCAAGTTTTTTCTTCTGCTATCCATTTAATTTAAAATCATTTTTTTAAATATTTCACAGAGCAGCTTATACTCAGAGTAGACTGGGGGGTAGTTAAAGTGAGAGCACATCTACAGTGATGGCCTTGTTGGAAGACTTCATGTATTAATCCTGCATCTCTTACATTAATAATGCAAACAGTCCTTCATGTGTGTTACACAGAAGATGCACTTTTGTAAGTAATTCTCACCAGCTCCCCAATTTTATTTTGTCTGAGGGATGTTTTTTCTTGTTTATGTAGTAGTGGGTATAGTAGTAATTTATTTCAGCCCTTATTAACAGTTTTACTAAATGAATACACATTTATGAAGGAAACCAAAAAAAAGGTATTAGGTCTATTGCCTGCTTCTGTAGGTGACATATAAAGATCCATTCATTATGTCAACAGTTACTATGGGAAGGTCGCAAAATTGCAGCAGGGTGTGGAGGAAAAAAGGACATTTCCGCATATCTAGGAGTATTTCAATCTTAGGCAAATGAAACAGACCAGATGCTTGCATTTTGATGCAAAGTAGTCTTATTTTGATTGGATATGTTAGATGTGTCAGCATGTGAGTTCTCACAGGCAAACACAAGACAAGAAGAAGAAGGCAAATTAGTTAGAACATTGAATTTCAGATGCGAGTGGCAAGAAGGGCATTTGTGAAAATGGAAATTGAACAGTGGTTGAAGAAGCTGTAGACGCACTTAACAAGGTAGTTGCTCTACAGCCCTAGAATTACCCCAGAATTAAATCAAAGTCCCTTCTCCACGGTCTTAAAAAAACCCTACATCTTTGAAATTCACAAAACTGATACTTTCAGCGGCAGTGTGCAAATACAAACACACTGTGCATTGCCTGGTGTATAGGAAGACCTTTACATTTGAGCAGCCAAAACGTCTTATGGTCTGATTAGTTGTTTTTAAATCTTTTCTTTTTTGTACATTAGAGGAGGTTTGGAAGTATAGAGCGTAACGATGCCTTCGACTGACAGTGTCTCGTTTCCACTTTTAAACATGGTTCTGGACCAGTAATGGGATGAGCAGCCATCTCGGGAGGGTCATTAGATCTGATGGTTGCCTTGCACGGTTGTTAACAGCCAAATAATATGAAGCCATTTCACAGGACCAGGTGCACTTAGTGGTGCCAACACTGTTCTCTTAGCATATCCCCATATACTCAGAGTATGATGCTCTTGCCAAGC